AAATTGCAGGTAGGGCAGTGGAGAAATCTGGAGATGAATGAGGAAACTGAAAAATATAACAACTTTCACAAGGTTTTATGAATATTTCTTTAAGTGCATAATTTATTTCTGATCTTGCACACCTGATATTGATTCTCTTGTTTTATTGATTAAAACTACTTTTTTCTTCATTAGAAACTACTTAATGCTTATTAAGGAAATCATTTTGCTCTGTAAAGACCAAATAAATCATTTTCCTTCCATTTGTTTCTGGAGACGTGAAAGCTTCATGTTACAATCATGCTGTCTAGTCCACCATTGACCACTTCATGCTATGACAAATGACACACAAAGCTGCCATTTGCAAGGTCACATTCAGCACTTACCAGTTAACCCGGTTTCTGTCATTTTTAGGACATTGTTTTGTGGTTTTCTTTGTTTGTTTTTGTGGGCTTTCTTTTGCATATTGGATGACGTTTATCTCACCACAGCATTGCTGGCTTTAGTTCTTGGTGACTTTATCTTCAAAAAATGTTGTTGCTGAAGTTTGGAATAATTCCTTTTGTCCTACATTTATTCAAATTACCCCAAGTTACAAGAGTTAAAATTGCTGCTAGACATTTTTGTGAACATTCCAGAGAATTTTGTAAATAGTCACATTTGATTTATAAAATGGGTAAAACTGTGAGGACTTTGTCAGGTTTTGGCACCAGGATTATGCTAGCCTGGTAAAAATGAGTTAGGCTATGCTCTTTCTCTAGTCTTTGAGTTCTTATGAGGTTGGAATTCTTATCCTTTAATTATTTGATAGAATCACCAGTGAAAATGCCTGGGCCTGGAGTTTTCTTTGTGGGAAAATTTTTGAGACTTTTGATGGTTATATGTCTATTCAGGTTTATTATTTCTTCTTTTTATTTTTTACATTTTTTCAATTTTCCAGATTTTTTAATTGAATTTATTGTGGTGAAATTGGTTAATAAAATTATATAGGTATCAGGTGTACCGTTCTGTAATACATCATCTGTATATTGTATTGTATGTTCCCCACTCCAAGTCAAGGCTCCTTCCATCACCATTTATCCCCTCTTTACCCTCTTCTACCTTCCCTACTCCCCTTCCGCTCTGGTAATCACCAAGTTGTAGTCTTGTCTATGAGATTTTTTTGGTTTGTATGTTTTGCTTACTCTCTTTACCTTTTTAATCTAGGATTATTTCTTCGTGATAAGTTATATTTTTTTCTAAGAATTCACCCACTTCTATCAAGATTTTCCACATTAATAACTAAAGTTGTCCCTTAGATCCTGTTATCATTTTTATATTTATAGCATATTCAGTTATGTTGCTTTTTAAATTCTTTCTGTTGGCTATTTATACTCCTCCTTTTTCTTCCCCACTTTTCCTCTTTCCTTCTTCCCCTCCTCTTAATTTTGTCAGAATGTCTTTACAAAGAACAACCTTGGCTTTGTTAATAACCTTTGTTTTATATTTTTTATCTATATCATTATTTCATGCTTTTATTTTATTTCCTTTATTTGGGTTTATTTTGTTGTTCAACTCCCAAGAAGTTTGAAAAAGAACAACAAAATAAACCCAAATATATATACTCTTTATTCTATATATAGATAAAGATAGATTTGTCATTTATTGCCATTCGAGCTTGTACTGATGATACAGATTTTTAAAAATATGATAGTGATGGTATTTAAAATAAAATTGGAGACCTAAAACAATTTCTTAGAGTGGTCCAAGCAAGGCCATGGCATACATTCATGTAGCTTGTGCACTATACAACTGTTGGGGTTGCCATTTATATCAGAGTCCACAACCATGAAAGGGGCCTAGGACCAAGATGAATCTGGGATAATCTTTAATGAGAAGTTGTCTAGTGTCAATGTCTAGATTTTACTGTTTAAATGCTAACAAATTGTTTTCTTGGTAACTGATACTATCTCACCAGACATCCTTAGTACCATAAAAATGTGCTAAGAACCGGTAGCTATTCAGATTATCTTTACCGATGACTTAGATAGCATTGAGTTAATCCAACTTGCAATAGAAGATGAAGAAAAGTTCCAGCTGGAAAATATTAAAATGAGTAAGGGTTTCAAAATCTACAGATTTCCCTCTTTGATCAAAGATTCTAGCAAACTTATGACCTAACAGGATGTTCTCTAGATTATGTGAAAAGGTGACAGGAGCTGTATTACTTCAAATACCATAAAACTTCTCTTAGGAAATATATATTTTACATATATTTGAGGAAACATATTCCAGCCTTAACAACTAAAAAGTCTCTTCAATGATGCCTGGTCTTTACTAAGTTCTTCTTGATCTACATTCTGTTTTCAGGATGATTGTTGGAATCACCCTTCTTTCTGGCCTACCGTGTACTCATTTGGAAGTTGAGTACAAGCTCTTTTCAGTGAAAGGCATAGTTTGTTTTCATCAGAGGCCCAAGCTCTAGCCCATAATAACTGGTTTAACTGACCATATTTTAAATACCACTTAGGTCCTACCCTGGGAGTTTGCAGAAATTTTGAAATTGTATAAATAGCATTGTGAATTAATTTTTTTCACCTGACAGACACAAAATAGTTTACTTCCAAGGCGTCAAATTCTCAGGAGGCCAACATCATGGCCTGGTAGAAAGGGCAGGAGTCCCACCAAACAGCCAAATGACCTTGACCCATCCTCTAGAGCATTTTGGGCCTCTTTCTTCATCTGTAGAATGCGCGTTTGAGGCAAGGTGAACTCTGAGTCTGAGTTCCTTTCCAGAAATAAACTGCTCTGACACTTTTTCCAGAACTAAAATTAGATACTTGTGCAGTAAATCTAAGTCAGCTTTATGAATTCCAGGTAACATTGAATCTTAGGCATTTGTATAGAAGAGAGGTTTTTGTTTTTGTTTTTGTTTTTTAAAATAGAGCTTTCAAAAAAGAGTAATGATTTTAGTGGGGAACTGAGTTCAGGAATAAAATATAGATTAGATTTTAAACTTTAAATGAAACTTTTTATGATATACATATAAATGTACAATTCAGTGAATTTCAGGGACTGAACACACCCATGTAACAGAAGCCCCTTGTGCCCACTCCTAATTATTACACCTTCTACCCGCTCCCAAGGACAACTACTTTCCTGATTTATTCCATAGATTAGTTTTGCCTGCTTTTGTTCCTCAGATGAATGGAATCATGTACAATATGCATTATGTCTGGCTCCTTTATTTAACATTATATTTCTGAGATTCATCAATATTGTGTGTAGCTGTTCCAGACACTTAAATTTTCCTCCAGAGAGATGTTGCTACATTTTTGCACAACTATATTAGCATTCTCTTTTGAGTGACTCATTTGGGAGGGTCAATAATATGCCATTATGATCAGAGAGAAGATAAAACTACTGAAGAGGAGGGACAAACCAGAGGTAGTTTGCAATACATTAATGTAGTATAATATTAATATATAATACAAGGAGGGAGGGGTGGGCAGGGGAAAAGGAAGGGAAGGGACAAGTCAAGGAACACATAGCAAGGAGTCATGGACAAAGCCAAAGTGGGGAAGGATTGAGGGAGGGAGAGGGGGGAGGCGGGCAGGGGAAAGCGGTTGGGGGAAGGTGGAGACAAATGTATTTGGAAAAATAAATTAATTAATTAAAAAAAAGAAAAAAAATGTAAGCTCTCTTTGGAAGGATTCATTTCCTGGTCTAAGACTAGGAAAGAATCACCCCCTGGTACTGGTGATGGCTAGAAAATTACAAGATTCTTAAAAATTGCCAGCTTTTCTTTAACTGAGAAATTGCGACTATCCCCATCTTTCAATGACCTCATCCCTGCAACCCTGTAATCCCTGCACTATCTGACCCTGCATGTACTATGTGCAAAATAGATATTATTCGACTGAATGAAGAGTACAGCTAGCATTTATAGTGCCTTCATGGTACCAGCCACTGTGTGAAGATCTCTTGTTTACTCAACACAGAAGCACTATCAGGTAGGTTGGTGTTCTCATCACAGTTTGCTAAATGGGAAATCTTGGCCATTGAACACAACCTGCCCAATGTCACTAAGACATTGTGTGCACAGAACCTATGAACTCATCTCTTTAGTCTTCACCACTGCACACACACTCTGTCTTAGGTTGGTAGAAGTTGCAGTGGTGGCTGGGTTCATGGGTGCCCTATGGCCAGGAGCTCTATCAGCTGAGAGCACAGACCCTGATCTGCCCCAGCTGCTTTACCTGTGGCCTTACAGAGGAAGCCTACTCATTGGGCTCTCATTGCCCCCCAGCTATGAGAGGAACCAACACAGTCTTAACATGTGCAATTCTAATTCTGTGTGCTGAGCTCCCCAAGCTCCCATCCCACCTCCACCACTTGTATCTCATCTAGTTAACTCCTATTTAGCCCTCAAATCTCATATGATGTATGTTGGCCTTCAATAAATAGTTGTTGAGTGAATGAATAAATGAGGTTTTAAAATTCAGGTCTGATATAAATTTTGCTTTTTAAAAAATGTTGACTCTTATTTCCTGACTACTGAAAATGCAAGCAATGATAACAAACTAACATGTAATTAAGAGGAAATGCAATGTACCCATCCTTTTACAATATAAGACATAAACAAGAGTAGATTATTTGTAAGATTCTGTGGCCCCTTCTAATTCTTAGTATAGTTTTAAACTAGCTTAGTGGTAATAATTATATATGCAGTGTTTTGTGTTTTTAGTTTCTTCTTGATATTTCACATGTGTTGATGATTTCCGTAAGTCCACATGGATGACCTTGCTTGTCATTTTTAACATAACATAATATAATATTCCACTGGGTGGTCCTCCCATATTAAACATAGGTTTTGCTTTTTGTAGCCAGTGTCCACCTGTCATTGCCAATTCTCTGCAACTACAGTGATTTAAAGGAAGTAGGATTGTGGTTTGCCTTGGTTGAAGAACTGACCTTTTGGGTAATGCTGTATTGTGATTATGGCAAGCTATGATGATACATTTTCCCTTATTTTATTCCAGGATGTTTTTCTCTGGTGGGCAGTGTGGCCATGTTGGCAGACCTGAAGAACTTTTACTGATGTTGAAGATATTCCTTGTCATTGGTCTTCATGCTGTTCTGGTTACATCCCTGGAAGGTAAGGTACCTGTTTTCCTTCATTGTATGTGTATGTGTATGTGTATGTGTATGTGTATGTGTATGTGCATGTGCATGTTTATGTGTGTGTTTATTTAGGAATTTCTTACTGTGGTAAAATAGACATGACATAAAACTTACCATTTTAACAGTTAAGTGTACAATTCACTGGCATCAAATGTATTAGCAGTTTTGTGCAACCATCACCACTGTTCATTTCCAGAACATTTTTATTATTTCATATAGAAATTCTGTACCCATTAAACAATAACTCCCCATTTCCCTACTACCCCCACTTCTGGATAACCTCTATTCTTTCTGTTGCTATACATTTTGCCATATAAGTGGAATCATACAATATTTGTTCTTTCATTTCTGACTTCTTTCACTTAGTATAATGTTTCTGAGGTTCATCCATATTATAGCATGTATCAAAGTTTGCCTCCTTTGTAAGGCTGAATAATGCTCCACAAATAAATTTCATTTATTCATTCATTGTTCATAGACACTTGGGTTTTTTCTACCTTTTGGCTATTGTAAATAATGCTTTGAACATTGCTGTACAAATATCTGTTTGAGTTCCTGCTTCCACTTATTTTGGGTATGTATACCTCACAGTGGAATTGCTGGGTCATATGGTAGTTCTATGTATTACTTTTTGAGGATCTGCCAAACTGTTTCTCACAGTGGCTGTACCATTTTACATTCCTACTAGCAAGGCACAAGGATTACAGTTTTCTATATCTTTATCATCACTTGTTTTTTTCTGTTTCAGAAGTTTGTAATAGATAATAAAATATGTCATTTAGTTTATAAATTGGTTTCCGACAGATTTGTGTTTTAGCACAACTAGACAACGAGATGGATACAATCATATAAGCCTTTGAAGAAGAGCTACAGATATGGATGACTGATTCTGTGCCTTGTCAGTAAGTCAATTTTATCAACTGGTAATATGACACAGTACCCAGGTATAATGCCTAGCTTCCACATTACATTTAAGTATTAAGTTTGATATGAAGTAATCCTAACTGATACACAAGCATTTCTGTAAACCCATCAATTTCATACTTTTTCATTAATGCTTTATTCATACTCCCTACCCAAGGAACTTATCACCCTGAGCCACTAACTGATACTGGCCTCTTGTTCACAAGAACCAGGTTGCAAATAAGTTCTCTGTTGACAAGCACATGGGGTTTTCACACCCTGCCACACAACATGCTTAAACCCAGAATTCTAGGTTTTTTTTTTTAATTGTTGTTCAAGTACAGTTGTCTCCATTCCCCCGCCGCCCCACCCATTCCCTCCTCCCACCAACAAACTATGGTACATTTATACAATGGAATACGACACAGCAGAAATAAACAAGGAGCTTCTACCCTTCACAAAAGCATGGATGGACCTGGAGAGCATTATGCTAAGTAAAATAAGCCAGGCAGTGAAAGACAAATAGCATATAATCTTACCTATAAATGGAACCTAATCGACAAAACTAACAAGCAAGCAAAATAAACAAAGGCATGGAAATAAAGAACAAACTGACACTAACCAGAGGGGCGGAGAGAGGGGAGTAAAGGGGGAAAGAAAGGGAAGGGTAGTCAAGGAACGTGTTATTTTCTGTTGTTTGGATAATGGGTGTGAAATGGTATTTCACTGTGGTTTTGACTTGTGTTTCCTTAATGATTCATGATATCAAGCACCCTTCATGTGCTTATTAGCCATCTGTATATCTTCTTTGCAAAAATATCTTTAACTCTTTGGCCCATTTTTGAATTGGGTTGTTGGGGAGTTTTTTTATTGTTGAATTTTAGGAGTTCTTTATATATTCTGGATATTAATCCTTTATCAGATATATGATTTGCAAATGTTTTCTCTTATTCTGTTAGTTGTCTTTTCACTCTTTTAATAGTGTTCTTAGATGCACATAAGTTTTTAACTTTGATGAAGCCCAATTTATCTATTTTTATTTTGTTGCCTGTGCTTTTGCTGTCATATCTAAGAAATCTTTGCCAAACCCATGACTTTGCCAAAGTCATGAAGATTTTCCTTTGTTTTCTCCTAAGAGTTTTATAGTTTTAGCTCTTATTCTGAGGTCCTTTAATCTATTTTTGAGTTAATTTTGGTATATGGTGTAAGGTAAGGGTCCAAATTCATTCTTTGGCATATGTATATACACTTTTCTCAGCACCATTTGTTTAAAAGACTGTTTTCCTCCATTGAGTGGCATTGGCAGCTTTGTCAAAAATCAAATGTCTATATATGTAAAGGTCTATTTCTGGTGTTTATTTGTTTTTAAAAGTATCTACTTGAAGACATTTCTGCATGGAAATTTAGGGGAGGTAGAGAATCAGCCAAATGAAGCAGCATGATTTTCAGAAAAGAGGACCTTTAGAAGCTTATGAAACAAGGAGAATAGGTATCTGAAGAAGGCAGTAAAAAGGCTAGAAATCTTGGGGCTGCAGTATCTATGGGTACAACTGCCAAAATAACACAGTGCTATGCAAATAAAAAGAATGCTCCTTAGGAATGTTATTTACGAAGACATTATTAAGGACATGCAGAGATATACCTTTCTTACTCAGAAGAGTAGAAGGACCAAGGAATCTTCATTGGCTAAAGCAAATATCTACTAGGAGCAAATAACAATAACATAAACAAAACATACATTCAACACACATACACACATACATGAACACAAAATCAATGGAAAACTTCCCAACATGCTAAAACACAATAGACAGTCCTTCAAAAAGAAGGCTCTGGGGCATTTTGTCAAAAAGTCACTATAGTTTACAGAAAAAAAAGAGCTTAACATGTACTGACTGCTTACAATATGCCAGGTCCCTATGTGCTTTACATTCACTCTCTTAAGCTTCTCAACCAAATCTATGAAAAGGATATCATAATCTTAGCTCCATTTCTCAGATCAAGAAACTGAGGCTCAGAGAGAGAAACTTGCTCAAAGGACTGGCTGGGCTGAGATTTATACTGAGCTCTGAATTTTGTACTCTAAACCAGAAAATCAGAATTCTCAAACTTAAATATGCATCAGAATCACCTGGAGGGCTTGTTAAAATACAGACTTCTGTGTTCTTTCTCCAGGGTTTCTGATTCAGTAGGGCTGGGGTGGCGCCTGAGAACTGACATTTCTAACAAGCTCCCAGGTAATGTTGATGTGACTGGTTCAGAGACTACACTTTGAGAACCACTGCCTACACAACTGGAAGAAGTAGAGAGAGGAAACTCCTCCAGATACTTACCATGGGATACAAAATTCTCTTGTGGCTATGTAACATTCATGTCCATTATGCTGACACACATCTCAACTGTGGGATCAGCAGAGCAAAAGTCAAATGTCCCTACATTACTGATGAGTAAATGTCCCCAGGGACATCATTCATTAGGAAGTGGTAGAGTCAGACTAGATACTAGATCTTAGGTCTAATGTTTCAGTGCTTTCTCCACCACAGGGGTAGATAAGGAAGGAAGGTGGAACACACGAAAAATCATCAAGATGAAAGCTGTTTGGCAGAAATAATTCTTTTTTAAAAAGTATATTTAAAGTGATGAAACGGAGCAGGTAAACCAGAAAGTGCATAGTTCTGAAACAAATCTTAGTAGGGAAAACTTAAGTGGATGCTTATGTCCACTGAATCTATTTCTTGCTCTTATTCTCATATGAATTGATTTCTGAAAGCAGTGTGGCCCCAGACAAGTAGTATCAGAATCACCTGGGAGCTTTTTAGAAGTGCAGATTGTCAGGCCCACCCTAGACCTGCTGAATTGGAAATTCTGAGGGTGGGGCCCAGCAGTCAGTGTTTTAATCAGCCTTCCAGGAGATGCTGATGAAGGCTCAAGATGTAGAACCACTGTCATAAAGAATTGGTTAAAACATTACTGCTGACAGCATGATACAATAGAAAGGAGCCTTCCCCATGCCTGTCACCTGCTATTGGCATGCTCTTGGTTTGCCACTAGACCAACAGGGATCTCTATTTCCTCATCTTCAAAATGGGTGCAATCATGAGCTCCCCCAATGGGCTCTTGTAAGGCTCAGTATACAAGGTCTGTCCAGAAGGTATCCAGCCATGTAATATGAAAAATAGAGACATGTATTGAAGAAGATACAAAACTGGATAATCAGTTGTGTAGTAATGAGAGCCTGCTATGTGCCTAGCAGAGAACATTATCTCTGACTCCAGGGAATTTACATGCTAGTTGAAGGGACATGATTATGACACACGAGAACAATGAAAGTATAATTAAGTCATAAAATGTGAATCAGTGCTAGAGGGTTCTAGCATAAGGCTTTTGGCCAAATCTTTGGATTTGTCTAGATAAATCTTAAGCCACCAGTAGCAGATGCTATTAGTGCCCTATCTATATTCTCTGGCCCACCCTAGAGGTCACCTACAGACAGATCCTGTGAATGCTGATGGCTCCCATGTCTCTCTGACTGAGAATGATCTGTGCCCATAGAACCATGCTTTGCCTGTGCATCGAAAAGGCCAGAAGTGCCAGGAAGTTAATACCCCACAACAGTGAGAGATGGGAGCTGGCGTTTACCTATGCCAGCTTCCTCATCCCTTGGTGGGGCAAGCTGTAGTGTGCCCTAGTTGCCCACAGTAGTAACCTGCTCATTAATGTACCCATTGTTGACTTTACTCCCTTCCCTATCCCACTTCCCTACTCCCTCCCTCTGCTTCTTGGGAAATGCGCTCATCTTCCAAGGTCCAACCAAACATTAATACCTCTATAAAACCTGCCCTTACCTCTTCAGAAGAATTAAATGTCTCTCCCCAGTGCTCTTTTTTCTTTTCACCCATTTTTTTATACTTGTCACTTTGTCTCATGTCATTATGTACTTCACACCATGAGTCCTTTTAGTGCATTGTCAGTGCCGGGTGAGAAGGGAGAATGGGGATTTAGTGAGGTGGGTGGGAAACTAATGGGAGGAAAACTAATGAGCATGGAGGGCCTTTTAGGTACTTCATGTAT